ATATAGATATGTATGCATATATAAAAATACATGTGCATATGCATGTGTTTACAAAAAACCATTTTCTTTCTATTTGAAGACAGACTTGTATTTGCAGGTTGTCTTTCAAAGATGCCTGCTGAGGCATTTGTTTCAGTTTGAGGCGGCATTAACACGGGATGGGGAACAAAAAAGAACCCTCTTGCAGAAATCCACAGATTTTTAACAGTCCCGTTCCTATCCCACACAACAGGAACTTCCCAGAACATGGAGTTGCACACTCATGTAACAATCCACCCCAAACCAACAAACACACTCCCTAAAGGAACGCTGCACAATAAACAAGACAAGTTTTTGTTCCCCTGCCCACCCCAAAAAAAAAAATACATCAGGGACTTGTACTAAAAACTTGGCTCGACATGGCAAGGTTTCTCTTCTCCAAACTTTTTTCCAGTGAAGCTTTGGGTGATTGGCCACCTGACATGTCGATTTTAGCTAAGTTGAACAGCAACAACATGTAGGTTGTTTTAATAAGTAAGTTGCAGCAACCTGCTGCAGAGCACCTCCTCGACTTCCATCACCCCTGCAAACATGTTGCTCGTGCAATAGGACGTCCATGGGGGAAAAAAAAAAGAAAAGAATAATTTTGATCCCCAAAGAAGATGACAAAACCGTTTTTTTATAGCATAAAGGCAATATCCAACTGATTAGCAACGCTTTGTATTTCAGAATTGTCACCTGTGAGTGAAACTTGATTGTATAATCCAATACCAGTGATGTGCCACTTTTCATATTCAGAGGGATACACAGAAAGATGAATACACTCATGAAATCATATAACTGAAGAAAATAAACTGCAGAGTTAGAAAGGCATGCATGGTCCAAAAAAAAAGTAGTAGAATAAATACTTCTAAATCCTCCCCCTCAAAAAAAGTTTATCTCCTTTTGTGTAATATTCCTTATTTAATCCCCAGAGTGACACCTGCTGGATTTCACTAACTGAAACCAAAGGGCAGATATTCCCATTACACAGAACACCTCAGGGATAATATCTGCAAAAATGAGCCATTTTAGTAATCAAAGCTTGCACAGTATAATATTTTTCCTCCATTTAGGGCAGGAAATAAATACATAGATGCAGCCACAGAGGAAGGAAGTATAATGTCTAAAGCTCTTACTGAGTTCTGAAAAGTATATTTTTATATTTTTATCTAGGAAGGCCTGTGGAGCACAACATTTGGTGACAAATTATATTCATTTCTGTTAATATAATATGAAAAAGTACTTTTAAAGCCTAAAGAACACAAGTTCTGGTATAACAAATATGTTCCCAGTACATCATTATTTTTTTTTTAATCTAATCAAACTCTAACAGAATTATCAGTATTAAGATAATATAAAACTTACTATTATTAATTTGCAAGGTTTTACCACTGAAATGGTGGAGGAAAAAAAATTGAGGGGAAAATCTAAACGGCAATTCAGGGAGTGACTTTATGGCCATAAGAGCATCCAGTTTTTAGCACAGTTTTCAAGCTGAGAATTATCAAAGAATATGTAGTTTTTAGGAACTGAAAAGATACTCAGCCCCCAGAGAGCTGGTATAGCATAGGGTATATCCTATATGAGTAGGTGCTTTGGACATGGTAATAATAAAAAAATAATCACTAATTGCTGTGTTCGGCCCCTTGTGCATGATATTACTGGGAATGGTATGGTAAGGTAACAGCTTCAGAGACACATGCAAATTTACCCAAGTTAAGAAACTGTTTTCTTCTATTGGAGGGAGAACATTGCTCCTCTCACGGAAAGCCTTTTTTTTGGTGCACTGCAATCAGTTCAGCGCGCTTCAAACGCATCTTCCCAAAGAAAAGCAACTCCAAATAAATCACTTCTGGACAGCGTATCCTGCAGAAATGATGGAAAGTGTTTGCACAGAACTAGGGCAGAGAAAGGATGACTTTGCTGGGAAAATGTAAACAGTATAAACAAACTTGGGAGACTGAAGCATTGAGGGCTGCGAAAACAAAACTTTCAAAATGTGAAAGTTCAGCCTTTCAGTTCTGCCCAGATTCTAACGTAGCACAAAAAGGACTGCTAAGAAGAAATGCTCCAATGGAACTAAATTTCATAAGATCTTCTGTTGTACTGCACCGGCTGTGGAATTCTCCATTATTAAAACAGGTAAGAAATAGGCTATTTTCTGATGCTCTCTGTGAAAGCACATTACACTGAAAACATCTGAACTGCCAACGTGAGTACAAAAACTAAAAACAATGTGTTGTGCACACCTATAGAAAGCTTTCTCCATTTCCTTTTAAATACTGAAAGGAAACAACATTCAAATGTATTGAGTTCAGAACACCAACACTTGTTATTCAAGGCTGTCTAAACAAAGCATGAGGTTTAAGATTAATTTGCTTTGAAAGTCTCTTTAGAAACGTACCTGTTCTCTCTTTAGCAATAATAGAAGTCAGCATGATATAGACCTGCACACACTGTACACAGGACTAATATATTACATATATTATTATATGTTTAATATACAAACCCACGTATATAAACACGTTTATTTTACTGCCTAAAAGTTATTTGTTTGTCAGCTCACCTCAGTTTTGGTAATAGAAGCATTCATTCCTTCCTTGACACGGTAGTATCAAGGATATAGTTAATTCCAGAGCTCTGACAACTTGCTGCACCAAAAACTTCCAAGAGACCAAGCAGTTGCATGAGCAACTAAGAGACTGTTTTCAATAAGAGTAAAGCCTTACTGGGGAAAGTGCTACACGTGGAACTCAAAGACAGAGCTCTCAGAACAGAGGTAATGCCAATACTGTGTGTGTGCTCCACAGGAGTGACAGCTGATCAGAAGCACAGAAGGAATTTTGGTAGCAAATCAAGAACACTGTAAACACATTGGCAACAGATGGAGACAACTTCTTAAGAAGAAATTGTGGTTTTGTTGTTGTTTTTTTTTTTAACTGTAGACTTGGATTTCTTAATGGAGAAATTCCTTCAACTGCTTTAATAAATAGCTTATGTTCAGCATTTAGCACAGAATTGACCAGATACACACTTTTGAAGTATCATTGTATACACATTAATATTGAAAACACATCTGTAGCAATTGTTTCTTCCAAGTGACTGTGACCCAGTTTGAATCTTTTATCTGCATGACTCTGTGAACTCTCGTGGGCCCAATCCTACCCAGCTGTGGCACATGCTGGGAATGCTGTTGGAAGCAGCTGATTACCTTGAATGCGAGAGAACCACATCATGCCATTCTTGAACTTGCAATGAATGTTATGTGCTCAGGTATTCAGTTTTGTCTGGTACAAAGTGCAGTGACACTGTTCTACGCCACCATCCTGCTGCTGTCTTCGCTCAATCTGCAGATAACGTAGATTCTGACCTCAAACCTGCAAGCACCCCTGACACTTCCCATGTGTGCACCTCAACCTACACCAGCTACTTGAGAAAAACCCAAAAAGTAAGAATCTAGCTGAGACACTGCAGTTTTCCCCACTAGACTGATCATTAAAACAACACGAACACCTTTTATGTGAAGTGCCCCCTTCTTTGACTCAGTGTCACCCAGTGCCTTTTGTGCGGAAGATTTTCAGAGTTGGGTAAAGACTTTGGGATTGCTCCCATCTGCAGTGAAGTCGATGAGAGCTTGAGCAGACTGCAGAAGTAAATACTGTGAAAATAGAGATTTTTTTTTTTTTAATTGAGAATTTCAGACAGTATTGCAGCATGTGAGCTTTGAAGGAAAACTCATGGATTCAAATCTGCTCGTGCTCCTATTTATCTAGATCTTAGAGGATCTCCTTTCAACCCATTGAAAGGACCTGGGATTCAGAGCACATCACTGATCTGAACAGGTTTAAACTGTTCTATGCATTAGCACTGCAAATGAATGACAAGATCCCCAGTAGGCACGGTAGGACTGGAAAGGCTCCGCATTGGCGCAATTGTAAGAGCAGCAAAGTCCATCCCCAAGGTATCTGGCATAAGTTAGTTGGTTATCTTTATCAGTATTGCATTCTCGACCCCTACAAACCGTATGGATAACTGAGTCATTGTAGATCAAATTCAAGTGTGGTTTATAGCCTAAAAAGATTTGTTTCCCTGATTCTACAGATCCATTGCTTGCACGCACGAGCAAATGGCTAGAATTAACAATCGCAGTACCGCAACCGCGTTTGTAAAACCAGAAGGTATCTCATCTATTTTGGAAAGCCGAAGAAGTGGCAAGACTTTTAACTGCCTTTCAGCTGATACTTGAAGGCACAGAATCACACACTGTTCAATGGTTTCTCAGAGAAAAGGAAGTAGCTGACAATCACCTGCCAGTAAATCAGCTTGGTGTTCGCGGTTAAAAACCTCAAACAGTAACACCCCGGCACGCGACAGGCTTCAAACTCAGCCTAACTTTTCCTCAGGTAAACAGAAAGTCCAAACAAAACAGGAGCGTTACCTTTTCAGCTGTGTAATTACAACACAGAACCTAACTATGAAACAACTCAAGTATGACCTCTTTCTGCTACAATAAGATTAAAGAAATATTCCGAAAGAAAATCCACACCACTTCATCACCTAATTCAGCCTCTCTTGAAAGAGCTGCAGTTGCACCGAGTTAGTCTTAAGGACCCTTTTCAAGCCAATGAGCCTCTAATTCTCTCCAGATGCAAAGACAGAAATTTGGTTAGTTGATATTAGAGGCTTGAGACAGAATCCTCAAAGTGCTGATTAGAGCATTTTTACCTCCCTTTCTACCTGTTTCTTCTATCGAGGACAGGTATAACAACACCAGTCATAAAAGCAGCTCAGCATTTCGCTCACTGAAAATAAACGGAGGTTTCCCTCATACCCCTTTCTCCCCGCAGATTCCCTATCACAACGCCTCGGTTAAACGCAAAAGCGCTGCACACACGCGCGACTATCAATGCCTTCAGACGGCACACAACAACTGTGGTTCCCGGGGCGAAACAATGAAACTGTTTTCCATCGGTACTCACCGCGCCGAGTTTTTTGCGGGAAGAACGCTTTCAGGCAGAGCGGCGGGAGAGACCTCGCTCTCTGTCTCCCTGGGCGGCCAAAGCGGAGCTGCGAGCGCCCTGCCGGTGGTGGAGCCGGGTGTAATCCAGCGACCGGGCTGCGGGAGCGGCGGCTCGGGGGGCAGCGCTGCCGCGGGAGCGCCGGGAGCGTGTCCGATGGAGCGCGGAGCGGCGGCGGCAGCAGCAGCGAAACATCAGAGCTTCCTGTTACATCACCCGACCCCGCCTGCGGCCGGCGTTGAGTTACTTTTCTCCCTCGAATGGCACGTCCCGGGGAAGCCGGGCTCTCCTCTGGCATTCGCGTCCGAGCCCCTGACATCTGCTCCCCGGCTCTGCCCGCACCTTGCCCCGGGTGGCTGCGGCTCGCCCGCCCCGAATTAAAGCTCCGAAACCGCTCCCGAAACGCTCGCTCGCTGCTCTGTTGGAAAGGAGGAGACCACGGGACCTGTCCTTTCGCGTACCGAGCCAGTGAGATTCGCCCTCCTCCTCCTCCTCCAACTAGACCCAGAGAAATAAATTCGTTTGGATCTTTATTGAGAGACAAAGAATACACAAGAGCTGCTTCCTCCTCAGTGTGACTGACTGACGTGACCCACCTCTGCCCGCAACTGCAGGGGCTACATTACATCCCAGGCTGTAAGTGCTGACAAGCTCTACAGAGAAATACTTCTACTCCTCAAATGTTAAGCTGCGGCAAAGGTCAGAATCAAAGTTTTCAAATTCAAGCGAGTGCATAATTTAAAGTGACACTTTGATTTGCACCCAAGGAAAAAAAAAAAGTATTTAAATAAATAAGACTTTGAATTTCTTGGGTACAAAAAAGGCAACAGGAACATTAATATTGCTGCACAGATCTCTAGGTTACATTTTTTTAAGCGCTGGTGATTTGAAAAAGCACAAGTATGAGCTGCCTGGTTTGAAAACTGCCATAATGGAAACAAAACAAAATTAATGGCAATCCTTCTAGTAGCTGCAAAGAAATTTGTATTGGGACCTAAAAATGTTTCTGTGAGAGGATATAATCACTTGTTCTTTGTACAGTCAATACCTGTGCTATGGACAGGATCTGTGCTCACCAATTCAGTGGGCAGTTGCTGTGTGGACATGAACAATACTATGCTGGAGCATTAAGCTGGAACACCAGTACCTCTTATGGAATACCATAAGGACCTCCCAAAGGTCATAAGGATCTATCAAAATGATGCCCTTTAATTTGCTCATAAAACAAGACAAAGTATTCTGCTTGCTTCTCTCTACCTGTCACTCGTCCACTCCTTTTGCCAGCAGAATCATTTGTGGAACGCGCTGTGAACTGGATGAGGGAACTCATCTGGCCATTGAAAACCTTTTCCTCAAAAAGGAAAACAGCGAGAAACCCAAAACTAAGAGGGGAAACCTCCCACAAACCAAACAAACGTACAAACAAAACCCCCAAAAACCCCAACCCTAATTCAGGGTCAGGAAAAATTGGAAGAGGGAAAAGAGAGGGGTAGGGACACTTTCAATCCATAAGGCCACTGGACAATATGACTTGTGAAATCACACTCCAGGGTTACCAAAAGAGCAGGCATATGACTTGAATATTCATTTGGTACAGGCGAGTGTTGGTGCTTCTAGGATCTGACATCAACAGGAGAATGTTTGAGTTTTATAACCAGTGAAGGACTAAGAACCGGCACTCTAAACCTCTAGGCAATGTAAACAGATATAAACTGGGGATTAGCTCTGATTCTGAACAGCGATGGAAATTAACTTATCTAAAATAAACGGCGTCACCTCAGGTTGTGGAATTTCATCACAAGTGAGCCTGGGAGTATTACTTAGGCCAGTTAGGTCTAGGTTATGGATTACAACATGGTACATCACACATTGTAATTTAGCAAATAATCCAGCCAGGCACACGTGTTCAAAACAGGCATCTGAATCAGCCAGAGAGATGTATCCCACGGGCCGTGTTTGACTTGGCACGTCAAATCTTATTTTGCTTGCTTGCTTCTTTGTTTTAATTATTATTTACAAAGCCTAGTATTCTACGTGTTCAGCTATCACTGAAGCTTACTTGCTGCTGCTGTACAGGCACCTGAGACCCTCAGCTGGTGCAGTTTGCACTTTAGAGATGCACCAGATCCCGGAATTTGTCTCCCCCTCCTCCGGCTGCAAGGTGCATAAATTACACCCGTACGGGGAGCGAGCACTTCAAAAGGGACCTAAACGTGGGAAACTCGAGCGGGAAGAGGCTAAAATCCGCGCGCGAAGGAAGCAAATCTTCCATTCCCCCTTTTTGGCAGGCAGGGACTGACCCGGCCGGCTCTCGCCGCGCCGCGCGCCCCACCTCGCGGCTTCCCGCGGGATAAACAGAGCCACGGGAACCCCCCCACGGCTTCAGCACGGATAAAGAACCCCTCGTGGGTAAAGTATTATCATCGCGGGTGGACAGCCGGAAACTGTAAACGCGAATTCCACTTCACTCGAACCTGGCTTTTTTTTTCCCTCTAGAGATGCTACTGAAAACAACCAGCTGTGAGACATAACCCTTGAGACAACTTCAGTGTGTTTGATGGGTGGGACCTAAAAAGACCAAAACTTGTTCAAAATGTAAAAGAAAATCCGTCAACTTTGCTAATGTAGGTGGATTGGAGCTGCAGAGAGAGAGGGAGATGCTGGCTCAAACGAACTGGAAATAAAAGAGAAGCAAGGGGGGAGAGAAAATAAAAAGGAGAAAAAGGAAGGCGTGCCAGTGAAAATGTAAAAAAAAATAATGAACAGAAAGACATTAAATTATTTCTGAAAAATGTTTTGCTTCATGATCTGCATGGATTAAGGGCACATACCAAGTTACTGCAGGTCAGATGACACGTGGGAACTCACCAGACCTCTGCAAAACCGCTTCAGGTTGTTGGCTCCTTATCACAGAGCTGGGGAGAAATTTCACAGCACCCTGCAAAACTCCTCCAAAGCAACTGGGGCAGACTCTGCAATGAAATGACTGGATGAATGGACTCTAGTTAATTGGAACTGTCCAGTCACTGTAGCACCTTAACAGAGCTTTGTGTTCTGATCTCTTCAGCATCCTGTGATCTGACTCCCTATGTCATGCCTCAATTATTCCCCTCAATTATCCCCCAATTATCTTTGGGAAATACACAGATATCTTTCTTTATTCTTGCGTTTGGTTGCTCTGCAGATACCCAGGATAGAGGGATGAAAGGAAGGGCACAGAAGGGACTTGTAATGTTGGTGAAGATCATATCACATCACACTGCAGTTTGGACTTTTTATGGGGAAAAAACTAATTCAATGCACTGTAGAACTAAACCAAAAGAAGGCAGGAAGACAGCTGGGTAACAGGTATGGCAGCCAAACAGAGTACATGCCCCAAGAGCAGCTTGCACTCTCAGATCAGTTTTTACACTCCCTACAACACTCCAGTTTTCATTCTCATTGCAATAACAAGCCTGACAGATAAATCACTTTGTAAGTTTTCTTAGTCAGTTGAAACAGAGGTGCTTTGAGGATGCTAGAACTATAAATTCTATTCTGTCTCAACAAGGACATAAGAGATCCCTCACTGGATCACCTGGTTAATTTAGGACAGTGTAAGTAGTGGGTGGGGAAGGACGGGGAAGCCCCTGTTAGTCCTGTCCTGGCTACTGCAGTTCTGGGAGAAATCTGCACAGTCTTGGGAGCAACTGAGGACTCTCAGTGCAAAGACCCTGTTAATTTGCAGTAGAGTTCAGCAAGCAGGAGGCTTATAAGAATGGGGAGCAGCCACAGAGCCAGGTTGCTCCTGGGACACAAAGGATGACTTTTCCTAGGCTTCCAGGGTACATTTTGTAGGTGCTGAATCCAGGCAGCCAGGGACAAGTCACTGGACCAAGAGGGAGAGTGAAGGAGAGATACTGCCATTAAACGACCCAGGGTTCATGAGAGACAATCTACACACAAATTAATCTATTCATTGCTATCTTTTATATAGATTGTCTCATTCAGAATATTCTGTTTTAGGAAGTCCATCGTTCTAGTTTATAATCTAATAAATCTTACAAGGCTTACGAATTTTTGGTAGTGTTCTTGGTGGGACTGCTTAAAGAAATACCATGGACAAAATTCCCCAACCACTGCAAGACTGTGATCAGAGTCCCACCGCAAGTGGAAACACCACCAGGTTTAGAGCTGGAGTCACAGCTGAGCAGAGGACACTGCCTCAGAAACAGCTCTGTCCCCAGCACCTTTATTTAGGTTTGATGCTGGGGAAAAATGCACCTTAAGGAAACACTGCCACCAACAATGCAGATCCCTGTAACCACTGGAGCTATCTGAATGTTGCACTCCTGCTACTAAACAATGAGTTTCATTCTCTTTTACACAAAAGGTCTAGAAAATATTTTAGTTTAATACACTTACTTCAGCTCTGTCTCCACTTTAAGGTATATCATGTGATTATCTAAATTTTAATACTGAGAGCCCAGGGGAAATTATTAGAATGGAAGATTAGAAATTTTTACTCCCTTTACCATAACATTTACACAAGGAGAGCTACAAACTTTTGTGCCCTCCCCTGCACCCCCAGCCAGGCAGAACACAAGCCAGTGTCAGTGTAAAAGCAGAGTAACCATGCCATTAGTGGCGTGTTCAGCCCACTGGTAAATCCTGACCCTCCCAAACCAGCTGTGTCTGAAGCAACTCACCTTTTGGAGGCCACTGCAAAGGCAGTTGCCATGAGACCAGTGGGAAGGCCTGGGAGCAGTTTAAACCATGGGCTCTACACTCCTCTGCAATGGCAAATTCCAGCTGCTCCAAGTATTTAACCTCCTGCCTCGCTCCCGTGGAGTGCAACTCAACATCTACAGACTCGACTCCTGGTGCACGAAGGACAGAGCAACACGTGGTGAAAAAGGTCAAAGTGGGGAACTAGAATGGCAAGATATCAAATGGGAATTCAAAGTGGGAGATGACAATGCACCAAATAATTCAGTGTACAGCAGCCTGTGGAGTTTAGAGGTTTCCCGACAGAACTGCACTTGCCTGATTTATGCACTGTAAGTCTTTGGTGCTCAAACATTTTATATGACAAGACTCTAAATAAAGTTTTATCTGGACTACACTCCTCTTCCATAAGAATTTTTCGAATTAGACTTAATAGATCCTAGGTAAAAGAAACATGAAAGGACTTAAGCACCAGAGAAGACATTTGAATAAAATTTCAGTATAAAAATCTGACTTCTACTTACCCCCTCACTCTGATATTTAGAGTGCATAATTGCTTACATTTTCAGCAGTAAAGCTTAGCCATGAGTCTGGTTCAGTAAGAAGCACAAAAGTCAGTGATCCCAACATATATATTTTTAAATCATTGCAAATATTTGCCACGTTGCTTCACACATTTACAGCTTTAACTGTAATCCTTTTATGGGTATCGGTGTGTTAATTCTGATCTCACATTCATTTTACAATACTGGAATTATATGCACTTCAATGGAGTTAAATCTAGCCTGCATAACCTAAAATAAAAGATTCAAACAAACCCAGTGTCTATTTCCTCTTTATAGCACAGACTTATCTTTTAATCATGGGTGGAAACAATCATGCTTGACAAGTGATGATTCTTTGACAGGTATTATGCTTTCTTTGGTACAAAAATAGAATTCAAAGAGAATAATGGGGTAATAAAGTGAATTTGAATCTTGTCTACCTTTTAACCATTGTGAATTATATACTCACACAGTCTGTTGACCTGTTGCAGCTCTGACAATTATATACAACCAAATTACAATTTAAAACCTTTATCAAAGTAAAAGATAACATTTATTAACATGAATGAGGAATACATAGTAAAAATTTAAGCAGCTTAATAATATGTAATCAAAATAATCAGGAAAGTAAATATATTTTAATGGTGTACACTGAAGGCTTTCATTCACAGGTGAAGAGCAGTTTACTTCACGTTTCCATAAAAATCAAAGCTGTATTCTTTCAGGGATGATTTCCTCTCCCAGAGCCTTTACTGACTGTTTCTTTCTTTTCTTCTTGATTTTTATTAACTTTCTTCCACCTTTTTTCTTATTGAATCCTAAAGATAAAATGAAGTAAGAGTAGAAGACATCAGAAGATTATCAGAAATGAGAGAAATCTTGTTTCAATAAATCTCCTTAAAAAAAAAAAAAAAAAGAACATTGCCTTACCTAAAGCCTTCATAAGCCTGAGCAACGCCAAGCTGTGCTATTTCTGTTCTTGCACACTGTGCTTTACTGTTCATCTTCCCTCTCTCTAGCTCTGTCTGTCTTCTGATTTCTGTTTTCACTTTTCTAAGGCTTTCAACTCTCACGCTTTACTCACTACCGAAAGCAGCGAGACCGTTTCGACGTGCACAGTATTTACCTGTTGTGATAGTCTGGGGCAGTACCACTTCCCATACCTTTCTTGCAGATCCTCAAACACGACTTTCTGGAGGTGAAATTGTTTTCGTTCCCACCACAACCGCTGTAGCTGAACGGGTGGCACCTCCCGCTCGAGTGGTTGTAGAAAAATCTCAGCTCTTTGGCTCTACAAAGTCCTCTGTCCATGGGGGTCATGCACAAAGAAGGGATGGGAGGTGGTTCTAGAAATACCAAGAAAAGCAAGGTTAGAGACTGCAGTGTATCAGCTTCCTGTTACGCCGATATTATTTGAAATTTATTGCAACATTTACCGGCAAATTTAATTCTTCCCTCCTGAAAATCCAGGATGTGTTACACAAGCGCCTTTGGATTCATGGCTACAAAAAATACCACGGTAATTGTTATCCTGTCTTTGAATTTCCAGCAAAAGCTTATCTGACAGTTACACCTTGGCCCATACAGTTAGTGACAAAATTGCCATTTCTGTTCTAGGAGATGGCACTCCAACTCAGTTAGGGCAGGTTCAAGGGAAGTACTTGTAGCAAGTGAAGTGAAATAAATGAAACCTTGGCAGCTTTAAGGATATGCTAAATATTTCTGGTAATTAATGGAGGGAATTACTGCTAGACATTCTGAAACCAAAAAAAAGGTAGAAGTACCCAGCATTTCCAAGGCAAGATTCAGAACCTTAACGCTGGGTTAGTTGAATGACTGCAGAAAGCTTGACCTGAGAAACAGAACTGAGTGTCGGAAAACACTCAGCTGTTACAAAGAAAAAAGCTTGTAATTCACAGAATAAAAAAGGGTTGAGTGTGAAGAATAAGTGCACAAATTAAGGGAGCTGCTGGTGCATTAGTGCTGCATTAGGGTTTTACCATTCCGGGGAGGAGGCTGGGGCTCGTTTCCTCATGGTCGCTGCAAGTGAGAGTATGAGAACTGAAACACTGGGAGATGAACCTGAGGTATCCAAAGTGCCTGGGCACTGGAACGAATTCAGGAAGCAAACCCACACCAGAACTCCCGAACCTGAAAGAACTCCACCATCTCTTGCCCTGGAGTGACTCACATACAAAATTAGAACAGATCCAATTGCTGCACAGGATGCAAGGAGCTGAGTGGGAGCCACTCTGCCATCAGTGCAGGACCTCAAGGAGTGAGGAGTGCCACTGTCCCTCAGGAAGCAGCAGAACTGAGGGAGCTGAGACCTGAATGCATCAATGGAAACGTGAAGCCTCTTGAGGATACAAAGCCAGGTGGAAGTGGTTCAGCGGAAAAGCAAAGTGAAATTCTTAGGGGATAATTCTGTGTTTCAGCAGAGCTGAAGACAACCTGTGGCCACAAAAGCGGGATGCTGGTGAGGGGCTGACAGCAAGAAGTCATGAGTTAACTTGGCAATTCAAGAGGCTGACAAAGAAATATCCAGAAATGATGTGTTACATCTTGTGTGTCTGACACCTGCTAAAAAAAGTTCATCTGACAAGGATAAAAGCCAAACTTTCCTGGTGAAAAAGGATGAAAAAATGCTGGGAAATAAACAGAATGGTGATTTATGGAAAGCTACGTGGGTAAAATGAAATTAATAACGTATTTGAAGGTGCTTTAGCAACATCATACTATCCAAAAAGGATTCTGAAGTTCAAAAATGGAGTGAGCTGTTCTTTCAAGATAGACTAAGTTAGTTTCAAGTTATGAAATGATCACTACTTAATTTCTTTTTGTAACTGTGACGTTTTTGCAAGACTAAGTTTCGCTCTGGGTCCAGAGCAGAAGTCCACAACATGGTACAATGTACATTAAATTTATGTTTGGTTTTTAATGATGGTGGGAGTTAAGTTAACTGAGGCAATGCTTTTGGTATTGCTCTATCTGAGAACTCTTGAGCTACTGGGACTGGTTTAATTTCTCTCTGGCTGGAGAGGATGTTAGTTTTCAAAGCACCTGTTCAGCAACATGAAAAACAAGCTTACCTACTTTAACCTGATGATTTCTGAACCTAAAAAGAACAAAGCAGGAGGGCTTGCCAGTGAGGAAAGGGCCAAACAGCACAGGTTTGCTCGATATAAAAGCATTTAAATATACACTTTGTAATGTAAATTACTTATCTGGTATGGGGGATTCTCCAGTGAGTCCACAGTCCCCTCATGAAGGCGCTCTCACAATGCCTGCAAGCTTTGGGAGAACCATGGGCTACCTATGTATGAATAATGCAACGTGCAGAGAGGTGTCCAAATGCTATTTAGGATCCCTTTTCTACTCCTCCAAAAATCAGGTAGATCTTTGTCAAGCTCTTTGTTAGTTAAATGCCCCAGATACAAAACACTGTTCCTGTTTATCTTCAGAATATCTGCCTATTCTTCACTCTCACAGGAGCAACCACAGAAGCAGCCCAGGAAGAAAAAACCTCTTCATTTTGCCACATCGAGCCATTTCTTCAACAAAACAGGTACATTGAAATAAAAATGAAATTACTCATCATAATTTCCTGTCTGTTGATCATAAAATCATAAAGAAGATCATAAAAAATCATGAATTGATTTTAACATACTGATCACTAAAAGACCTGTTAACTTCAAGTTACTGCAAACATAAAATATGGACTGTGCATTAGATGTAACAGCAAGTTTAGATATTATGCCTGTTCTCGAGTTTCTGCCTCAAGTATTTTGATTTTACAACCTCATTTTGCTGAGAGCTGTTGAAAAGTTCTCTCTCCTGCTCTTTCTGTGAAGAAAAAAGGAAAATGAAAGAGGCAAAAATCCCACAACCCACAGAACTATATAAAAAGGAAAGAACACTGACTGAAAAGAATTAAAAAAAAAAAAAAACTGTCCTGCTATTATAATTGTTTTCCCCAATCTACTCATTACAGGTTTATGAATTACAGAGACCAACTTTATTGAGAAACTACTTGACATAGAAATGCTTGTTTTAACTCTACTTTTTTTCCTCAATTTAAAGTACATTTCAGCAGGGTGGGTTTTTTTTACAGTGCACGTGGCATGACTCATTACATGTTAACATCGAGTGGATCATACAAACCCAAAAACTGATGAACCTCATTAAATGCTTTCTAACTTTTTCATACACACAGCTGCAATGTACCCATCGTATGGTCCTTGATGCAATTTCTGTTTATCCAAAATGGCTGATTTAAACCTGTTTTAAATCTCCAATATTGAATTTATATACTTCAGTTTGCAATGCGTGTTGTTGGCCAAAATCACGTGGCATTGGTCAGGCCCCGAGCAGGAAAAACAATTTACAATTCACACAAGCAAATGACAAATGAAATCTTCCAAGCTGGGTTGGTCAAATACTTTCAGGTGTAAGGTTCTCTTCTGGAAAACTGGAGTACAATTAAATACAAAGTGTTTCTCAGAAACGTACCAATCCCATCAAAAACTTCTGAAGGAACTGAGACCTTGGAATGCCTCTTACATGGAGTTTTGGAACTGGAGCTCTTAAAGAGCTTCTCAGTCGGGTTTCAGGCTTTATAACAGCAAAATACAGTGTAGAGTTTTCTATTATCTTTCATTTTGATTACTCCTTTTTCTTGGTGATTTGACTGATTTTGTTTTGGTGAGAGAATAAAACCCTAAGCTGCAGTATTTAATTTTTTTTTTTCTGAAAAAATTGGTAAACTAATTATATAAACTAAGCAGTAGATAAAGAAGGCTACAGTTCTTACCTACTAAAAGACTCTTGTGCCTAACCCTTCACTGCTACCTAAACAATCTGTGTGTATGGTTTAAGATTCAAATCATATAATAAGACTTTTCCTGAATTCCAGACTCCAGACATGACCATACTTGGGAATCTCTGAGACGTGCACAGGCAGATACAGGCTCACATTTATCAAAAATGATGCCAACCCTGCATTGCAGCAACAATCCTTATCCCTCAGGCTTAGCTGGGGCTGTGTGACAATGAACTGCTGATGAATCACAGCACAAAAGAAGTTGGAAATTATCTTGGTGAGCAGGACGAAGGAGAATGCAATAAGCATCATTCCTCACTGAACATGGGGGTGTGACTTCCATAAAGCTTCGGATTTATTGCCAGAGTTTTGATAACGTGCAGACTTGGCCTTCTCATTCCTGGCTGCAGCAAAGTGAAAATAAAGGAATCTTCGAGGAGACAAACGAGTGCAAAACAACGAGTCATCCGCACTTGACAGCACTCTGCAGGTATAAATCAGTGCAGATCCACCGCTCCAAACAGAAATCTGTCAATTCACATCAGCAAAAGGTGTGACCCCGACTCTGAGATGTACTAACAGGACCCTCATCTGTGTGCTATTCCCTATTTGTAGAGTAGAAAATTGATTTTCGATCCTGTAACCTGCTTAAAACTCACAAATCAAACGTAGGTAAAGCACTCGCAATTTTCTACCGCAGAGCACTTCGTATAATCTAAAAATGAAAGCTTTGATTCTTAGCTTCAATTTTCCTTAAGTTGCCCAGAAAAAAATCAGTTTAGATATCGCAGCAGAGTAAGACCAGAACAATCTTCACTCTCTGAAGAAAGTTCATGGCTGATAGTCCTTAGAAATTTCATGGGTTTATGTATGATCTTATTTTGGCCATAGAACAGGATAATTTTATGAAGGTCAAGAACTGTGTTGGACGTCTAATAATCTGATGTTATTACAGTACCACTAATAATAATACATTTTTTCATCTTGAAATCAAGATGATACAGCATGTCAGTTTTGAGGTAAGGTATTCTGCAAGAGAACTCCCTTCAAAAAAGTTTTAATTTTTTTGATAGTCTTAGCTTAACTTTTTACTAATTAATAACATGCAATTAATTTAGATTAATTAATTTAATGTAAATTAGTGAAAGTAAATGTAATTTTTTAATGTTCTTGTTAAAAAAAAAAACTACATACATGTAGCCAGGCCAATATACATGCAAAAAAACAGATGTTACAGTGGCAGATCAGCTACTCTGTGTGTGCTTGAGGAGATGGCCATCAGCCACTCCATCCCACGCTGCTCCTCCTGGCCTCATATCTGCACAGTCAAATCCTTGTCCCTCACCGAGGGTGACAACGCCTGTTGGTGTGAAATGACTCTACCTTGCACCTTCACTTGCCCAAAAGCACAGGATTTTAGCCCTTTCCAGCTGCCTGGAAGGAACTAAGTGACAAACAGAAGAGCAGCAGGAGGCTGAGTGGGGCAGAGAGTTGCAAGACAAAGGTTATGGAGTAGGGAAGAACCTGTGGGGTCTTCAGACTTTGCACTGAAATGCACTGGTCCTTCCAAGGTCACACTTCCCTCCTGACCCATCCAGCTGCACTGACTCTGCTGGTGCTTGTTCCCCTCTTCCAACAACCTGCAAGTCCTCTCTGCCTCTTACCCTCACCTCTCACTCTCAAAATCTGCTGTGCAGGAAAATTCTCTGTTGCTGGCACAGTCAAACCCCCTTCCATTTCCTCTGGGAAAAACACAGTGAATCATGCTCCTTTTCCTGGGGTAGGTTACTTGTTTTGAGGATTTGGGGATTCATATTATGACTAAAAACCTTCAAGGAATGTGTATGCCCTAATGTCCCTGGACTTATTACCAGACCTTAAGTAATTCACGTATTTTTCAGTAAAATAAGATGCCAAAAGCTTTACTGTTTTATATTCAGTCATTTGAGTAACAGATATTGATGATATTGAATAATTGATGCTTTTTATGTGGTAAACAAACAGTACTACCATAACAGAAACTTATGCCAACCAAACAGTACATGTGGATCACAGTGCAGGCAGAAAATAGAGTACAACACACATTCATGCTTTATTAGACACACCATTCTAAGCAAAGAGCACAGGAATGTTATCCTACACGTCCATTATCTTACAGAACACATAAAATGCAAATAACCTTAATGAGTCTCTAAGCCATCACTCAGTCCTCAAAAGTACAAGTGAGTGTAAATGCAAAAAAACAACATAAATACTTGGTAAGACTGCTCAGGCTCTTTCCAACTGTTTGTTGTTTCCTCTTGCACGACTGTGGATCATAAAAATGACATGCCTCAAATTCAATCACCCTTTACAGTGTGAGCAAGTACCAAGTCATCTACAGTGGACAGTGGCCAGCTGCAGAAACTGCTAAAGCCTATCCCTCCCCACTAAAGGTCCAGAGTCTCATCTGCATTATCATCCATAGTGCAAAATTACCTTGAAGCAACACAAAATTAATTCATGCTCAAACCAAAACTGAGTTTAATATGGCTGCAGTGAAAATAAAAATAGTATGGTATTATATATATATTATACTATTCCACATTCTAAAATCCAAATATGGTTCTCTTTTAATGGACAAAAGGAGCTTTAAATCACTTGCCTAATAGATCATCACAAAAATGTTAATTTTGACTGAAAGAATTCTGCATGGCAGCTTTTGCTCTTTTTGTATTAATCAGACCTCCTGGAAGTGCACACTTTTCAAGGAGAACAAAGTGTGGTCAGCCTTCCACTTTCCATATTTATGGAAGATCTGTAAATAGCAATCTATTCCTTGGCTTTGACTTTCTCTGCTTACCAAACCCTTTGACACACAAGAGAGACCATTATTTCAGAGCCTTGGATATGTCAGAAAATGGGTGGAAATGGAAAAGCAATCCATGCAAAAAACTTACCAAAAAAAATGGGAAACTGGTTGTGTTCCTCCTTTCGGGAGCTGCTGTTCAGAGTGTTGGACTCCTCATTCGGAGCAGTTGGCAGCAAATTTACTAAAAGAAAAGGAAAAGTAGGGGTGAGTGTGGGATGTGAAGCAGTGAGTGATGGGTTAATTAGACACAGGCAAGCCCTGAAAATCAGCTAAGATTGGCACCCACTGGCCTTACTCAATGCCAGCACTGATGCCACTTAAAGACAGCATTTCTTTAAGTCCCAAAGCCATAGGAAGTTGAGGTTGCTGAGGCAACTTTGGATTGAGTTCCTTTTTCTTCTTTAATTTTACTGATGCAAGATTTCAATCAAAAATGGTTTGGCAAGGTTGTTTTCATGTCACCAGCAGACACTCTAACCTTTGCAATTGTAAGCAAAACATTTTTCAAAGCGTGTGTTACTGACTAGAAAGTGGTTTTGAAGTGGTTTTAGTGTTAGTGACTTCACTGTGCTCTTGTATTTCAACTTCCATAGATGTCTTCAAACAAACGAGGGGACAAACCAAGGAGCATCTGCATGAAAGGGTTAACTATAAACAGCAAAAGCAAATTGTTACCCAAAATCCCATGGAACTCTTCGGGTTCTTCTGCTGGGGAACTGCTGTTCACGGTGTTAGGATGCTCTTCAATTGTCACAACTGGCAGTAAGTTTGCTAAATGAAAAGAGGAAGGAAAACAATCAGGGGAAAAAAGGACCCAAATTGGTATTAATGATTCGATATCTCGAGGATAAAAACTTTGATCTATTTAGACCATGGCAATGGCCCTTAATCCTCTGTTTGTTTATTCATACACATTTACATGGAGGTGTTGTTTCAGACTAAAGTCAGGGAAAAATAAAAGCTTTTCGTCCAAAAGGTAAAAGTGGAATCAGAACCCAGGAAGAAATACTTCAGCAAAGGTAGGGAAGGAGCACATGGTTCTATATGGTTAAAAAAAATCATCTTTAAAAAAAAAAAGCATAGGGGATCTTTCTTACTCCAAATGTAAATAAACTCGAATTCCCCTTGCCAAAATGACAGATTGTGGCATAGTCCTGGAAAAAGATCCACTAGAGGCAAGTGAGATAAAAGGGTCTGGAGGTTCCTGATGGGCAAATGTATTCACCCTGTGAATACAATGAAGGACTCTCCAAGGGGAGAGTTTTGAAGAGCAATTCATTGGAACTGGCAGGACAAGGAAGTGGATGAAGACTAGAAATTCCTTGATGGGCACCTCTTTCCATTGCAAGGCTTGGTCTGAAAAGAGCATATGCAGATGTGTGTTTTAAAAAAAAAAAAATATTAGTTAATATTTATTAGTTAGTTTTATGACATTAAACGGGCAGATTTTAGGCCAGCTGCCAAGAGAAAAGTAAAAAAGGAAGCCTGTAATATTAAACAGTGCCTACCAAATGTTTTAGTCCATATTCATAATGTTGGTATTTTTATTTTAAAATAGATAGAATTATTTTCCAGTTCACATATAAATTATTGCCACCTCATGGTACCCCTAAGTTGCCTTTTTCCCCATGCGGGATACCTTCAAAACACAGCCCTGTTTATGCGAGGATAAAACTAAGGATAATGAAGACAGCAACTCACAGTTTTCTTGGCAGGTACTCTGGCAGTCTTCCAGACTCTTGAAGTTGTTCTGGTTTCCCAGGCACCCACCATACTTGAACACTTCACACAGCTTTGTCTCTTTGTTGTAGAAATACCTGGTAAAATAACCTCGGCAGATCCCAGGGTCTTTCTCGTGGAAGCAGAAATTGGGCTTGTCTACAAACAATGGTAAATGATGAACAAAGGGGGAGAATCAGAGAACTGACACACATTCCAAGACAACAATAGAACTGGATGAAGTTTATAAAATAACTTCTATTTATATAATATAAATAACTTATATTCATAATATAAATGACATATTTATAATAGGACCTATATTTATAAAAGTGATATATAATATATAAACAACATATTATATATAAATAACATATATATAAATAACAGATTATATATAAATAACATATTATATATATATAAAATATATATTTATAAAATAATATGGAGCATTCTAGGGATACTTGTGTTGCTTCTTTTTCCTCTTTTCAAGCAGCCAAGTAAATTGTATCTTGGAAAATGACAGTTAATGATTCCTTCAAAGTTTCCTCCAACACTGAAGCTTTAACTTGAAAATCGGTTTTTGCTCTGATTTAAAAGACCTGAATCTCAGCTGGATCTTTCGCGGTCTTGTTATTTATATGGTTGTTTTAGTCAATGTGATTGTGAATTATAAAGAAAGCAATGTTAAAATAGAAGGGAAAATAAATAAATAAATAAATAAATAAATAAAAATAATAAACCAAAATTATATTAATTAAAATTAAAATTATATTCTAAAAATAAAATCATGGAAGCAATAATAAACTATATGTGAAGGCATTCTCAAATTCTTGCTAGTAGCTACTTTGAAATATGATTCTTGTCTGAGCTGACTTGCAGAGAAAAGTCTCTTTAGCCATCATATAAGACAATCCTATCAGATGTGACATAGAAAAGCCTTCCTTACCTGTAAAATTTCACAAAATATTGAGACTAAAATGGGGCCAGTGGGCTGCCATTTTAGTAAAAATTGCTACAAAACAATTACTTTGAAGCTCCTGACATTTTTGAAGCAGATTATTGAGTTACAAAGAAGTTAATCCTATTACTTCTACTTTAGCTAAATATATGTTCAAATTCATTGCTAGAACAAGGTTATTATTAAAAGCAATTTATGCACATGATATATTTATATAAAGTATTTTATAACTCATAAACTCGTCCTTTTCCAAGAATTAATTGGCAATATCTTGTATTTCAGTTGTTATAAAACTCTACGACCAGCAAAAAAGAATTTTCAGAGATCACATGTAAAATTAAATCATTAAATGTTCTTGGATAAAGCCACAAAAGAACAATAAGGGTACACAGACTACAGGATTATGACTGATTCTTAAAAACAAATATTCTTGGGTTAGAACATCCTTAATTAAGATGGTTCTCACAGAAGAGGGAAGTGAAGCCCAAACTAGGTGAGCTCAGATCGAACTTTTACAGCCACTTTTGGAGAGAGAGTTCATGAATGCAATATAATCCTGACTATAAAAACCAGGATTATACTTCCAAATGCCATGTCTTTCTCCAGGGACTCAATATGCAAGACTGCATTACTGGGAACAACAGTAAACATGCAGTGATGTTGATGACAGCCGTGAGCTGAATTTAACAGAGTATTTTCTAGTTTGTCATTAAAAATGGGGAACTGCGGTCAGCCCTTAAAGGAAGCAGTGCCAAACAGGTTGCTAAACGAGCGCCCATTCAAGCAGTCCCAAGTGGAAGGAGGGATGAAGGAGGGTAGGCAGCAAAAGAGGAGCTGATTTGTGAAAAAGTTTACTCGAGTGTGTGTTTGGTGAACTCTGGCCACCAGCAGTGGGCCCAGTGCAGACACATCCCCAATGGGCAAAGGGGAAGGGCAGAATGAGCCTTCCCGAGCTCTACTGCAAGTGTCAAACTGAAACATCCTCATTAGGAACATGGGTTACCTTAACAGACCAACAGTGCTCCAGGTAAATGGATCTCAGCGCTTTAGCACCGGCTGGTTTGGAGCTCTGGGTGTCAGGCATTTAAAGTGCTGTAAACTGTTCCCTTCAGGAGTGGGAAACTTGCTCCCCTGCTTGATGGATAATTAGGATATCTGCCCTAACCTCTGGTAGCTCCTCCACAGACAATGCTTGAAAAGTTCTGTTTCAGGGTGATTTTTTTCCCATCTATTTTTGCTAACAGTGGAGCAAGCTTTTAGCTCAAAACACACAGTATGAGTTTAATTATACAGTGCTTGAATCTCTGGTGAGTCTTCCTTTTCACTGACAAACAAGAAAAGAAAACCATCAAGATGTGTTTACTTTGTGGAGAGATTGAGGCTACCACCTTCACTGACCGCAGTTGTCCTCAAATTCTATGATGAAACTGAAAATTCAGAATAAAAACTCACTTTCATCTGACATTGCTGTTTCTGTTAGGAGACAGCTTGGAACAATACCTAAATAATTGCACAAAAGAAGCTAATAAATACCTTACTTGTTGTATAAGAGTCTTAGGTCACTATGTAAATGTAATTACCTTTCTTCATTTGTGCTACCACCGTCTTCCGAGATAATTCTGCAACATAAATAAAAATAAAAATATTTAGGAAAGGCAGACATGATTAAATCTCACCTGTGATACCAGTGTGCTTAGCAGCGACAATAAGCACTGAGGAGGAAGAATGCAACATCTCTTCCCTTTCTTTTTTCCCTTTATCAGAGAAGTAGCACAAAAGCTTGTTCTGGAGGACTGGAGTATCATTTCCTTTGTATGAGAAGACTTGCTACACTGGAAACCTGAGGATATGGAATGTACTGAAATCAAACTATTCCAATATTGAATTGAACTGGGAATTGGATCCAGAGGCCTGTATTATGTAGTCTTACATCTCCAAAGAGGAGTAATTAGCAGACTAACAACCCAGACTGCTGTAGATGCTGATACTGCAAGTGGCTTTGGACACGACCTGGTGAAGACATTAACACTTCTCTCCTGCTGTCCAATTCCCTTTGCTGTGCTGTGTCGTGTCTGAGTAAAGTTTTCATTCTGCTGTTTGTGATATCAAGGCCCACTCAGCCAAGTATCTTCAGGGCTGTAAGGATGACAAGCCTGTTTGCACTGCTCTCTCAGAGCGTGATCAGCAGTGCAGAAGTCACTGCTGTCGTTTTTAATGGGGGAGCCTGGGTTTCATTTGATGACCTCAACAAACTGGACAGCTGAATGCGCCCCCAGTGATTGAAAACAAATCTTATTCCCCTTCTAGGGGACTCTCTAATCATAAAATCACAAAAGAATCCACGGGAAGGTCGTCTCAACCAATGTCTACGAAAAGCTGACGAGAGAATGGTGACCAAGGAGAGCTGATTCATTTTCTATTACAGAGATACTTAGCAAGGCATGTGAAATAGCAGCTTCTGGACTTCATCTCCTAATTGCATTTCTTCATAATCCTAGTTTTGTACCATACTGCCCTTGTGTGGTAAAATTCTACCCCAGTTTTCTCTGGAAACATGCTGCTGCTATATTTTCAAAGCAAATCTATGAGGTACAGATTCTGTTCACGATATACATTTTTCCTTCCACCTCTGAGACAATGCAGCTGGCATCCTTTAAAAAAAAAATAAATATTTAAAGACATGACATGCATTTTAGTGACAAAACATTTCTTTGAGCCTACTTCCAGCTTGTCCTATTAGTAGGAGTCTTTGCCTTCAGCATTTAAACCCATGAGCTAAACTACAGACACACATCAGGCCACTTCACTAATCTCACTCAGCTGTCCCCTTCAGGGCAAGATCAGCAATCATATTTTGGCATATGATCTCTACTCTTCTGGCAGAGAGCAGGAAAAAATTACTGTGAGTTTATACAGGCCTAGAATCTTTTAATCTTACTGCCATGTCAACAGTGTCTTTTTGCTTCTGGTTTCAGTTAAAACGCCAAATCCCTGTCAGAGTTAATTTCTTCTTTGCAAACAAACTGCATTTCTGAGCAGATTTCCTCTGTAAATAATAGACAGTAGAATTGCTGTCATGACCAGAACCATTTAACAGTAATTATTTTCCCAAGTTAGAAGGTTAAGTAGCCTAAAATGTATATTCACTGCCTTGAAAATTAGGACCTTTGTGCTAGTGATGACACCTGTGATTCTACGTATATCCAGTAAGCTGGGTATAAGCGTCCAGTAAATGGAGCAAATAGGTAAATGCCTCCTAAAAGTAGTTTTTTTATTCCCTGAAGTGGTGAGTATTGGGTACAAGAAACAAAAAAACACAGCTGATTTCTGGGAAACTTGAGTCAGAATTAGGCTTCTTGAATCTAAGCACTGCCTTTGAGAGCGGCCGACCTGCAGCTGGGCTCTCTGAACTCTGCTGTACTGACTTCAGTCAATTCTGTCTTTAGTGGCTTATTCATTCCAAAAATGTTTAAAAGTCATCCTGATCTGGTAATGCACTCATATTGTGTCATTTGTTCTTGTATTTGTGCTGAATATTGAAAATCAAACACTTTGATTATTCACATTATTTCACCTGAATTTGTATATATATTACATAGCTTCCCTTTAGCTTATTTTTACCTTGATCTTCACATTCTTCACTGTGATAATTTAGTATCTCAGATTCTTCTTTATTTTCAAACACTTAGGTAGCACTCATACTCTCTTTTTAGACTGATTTCTTCAGTTACTAAATAGTGATCTTCCTATAATAATAAATATATAAGCATAAATAAGATGAATATAACTATATACTACAAGACTGGACAGAGAAAGCTAGCTTTAACAAAAAGAATTTACATAATTATATTAGGGTTTACTGAATCATGTTAGTAAAAGTGGTTAACTTAATAGTTTACTTTGCTTTATGCCTGATGGTTGACAGAGTACTGTATATGACACCAAGCCATTTTATCTGCTGTTCTGCATTCAAAGAATACAGAAATTAGGAGCATTTTTTGCTCCAGTTCCTCCAAGCAGATGTAACTCTTGTAGGGTCTTGAATCACTGTTATTCCTGCAGAGAAAACTAAACTTGGGCTGAGTGCCAAGATGCAGACACTAAGCCAGTTCTCATTCTAAATAACTTTCAGTTTTATGCTACAGAGTTATGCCAAATATATGCCAGGATGGGATTTGGTCTAGCAGATCTGTTTCAGACTTTGATCCAACATATACATGAGAATCAAAACAAGACTATTATTCAAAATAGCAACATTAGATTGAAGAAATAATTCGATAAATCTTCCCTCATGGCACCCGCTCTTGACTTTTGGACACTTCATTTTAAATTCTGCATTTATCAATCCTGCATTTTTCCCTTCATCCCTCTGTTTTAGCCTTTAACTTGAAATTTTGGGCAAACACTCCAAACTGCCAGCGAGTCACGTGTTTGGGATGAGATACTACGAGCCCTGCAAACAACCCTGCTCCAAGCATGGCAAAGATGCTGTGGGTCCATCTGAAACAAAAACTAAATACCAGGTGTAAATTACCAAAAACCAGCCAGGTATCAGAAAAAGAAGAGCTATTTCACATCCTGGATTCCAGGTCCTTCTGACACCGAATAGTAATGAAGGAAAAATATCATTAATTTTTTAAATTGAAAGATTATATTCACTAAACTTTGTGGAGTCATAACTGGAAACATATTAATCACAACTTTCTAAACAAGACACTGTAGGAGTGAAAAAACAACTTTTAAGTTTGTTTTTCTTTTGTTGTTGTTGTTTTATGTCTGGTTTTGAATTTTGCAGCTCTTCCTAAACACAGTCCCACTGAAGCCTTGCTGCACTCAGCCACGCTGTTCCGGCTCAATCTGTGTCAGTAAGAAAGCAACTCTGCTTTACTCTTGTAAATTGTAAACACTATTGAAAATTGGCAATTCCTAGTAATTCTTATTAGGAAATACAGCTGTGTTTGAAACAGACAATGTAACAGATTTAAGGGCTGATCACAAATACTTCTAACTTAACTCCTGGTCTAAGTAAATGAACATCCAATATGACACTCAGGAAAAAAACCCACATAATGAATATACTTACTATCTGAGGCTTATTACACACCTTTGATGACCCCTTTATATGGATTTTTCTTTCAATTCCCATTGTCCTTCTCCCCTTCCAATACATCCCTATCACTTACTGTTTACATAGCTGGATCCATTCCATCAAATTCCCATGAAAATAAAATCCATATTAGGTATCCAGAGGAAACCCTCAATAAGACTTTACTTCCTCCAGTCTCTAAACACACAAGCTTGTCAAATTTCTAGCTCCACTGGCATTACCTCCCAGTTTTAAGAATCTTCTAACTTTCAGGCAGTCCTGTGAGGGTCTTGCACAATGCTGGAAGCCTTACTTAATTACAAGGTTCATTTTTAAATTCCAAACCCAGCATTCACAAGGCTCTTTGTGAATACTGTGCTGTGTATGGTATGCTAAATTTCATTTTCCTCTTTCTAGTGATTAATTGATGAGATTTCAATAAAACAGAGCTGGCGAATGGCTGTGACTGACATTTTTAATGAGAACTATCTACTACTGTAGTTCTAATTATGTTGAAACATAAAAGATGTCCAAGATGCTGGACAGCTTCTACCAGCTTCTCAAGTGAAGGAGAAACCTGGGATGAAAAATGGAGTTAGATACTCTGAAAGCAACAAAGAACATCTGTGCTGCCCACCAGCATAGCCAAGCCTCAAAATCAATATCACTTGGGTTCTAGCTAGAAAATGACCTTTCTTACATCGGTGATCGGTGTCTCTATTCCAGAAGTACACTAAAAGTCTCACTCAAATTTCCAAATCCTGAAGGTTTGCTTGCAGAATGTAAAATAATTCACATGACTCCAGCCTACTTGGGAACATAATTAGAGGAATTGCATTTCTATATTAATGGGAACTGAAGAGTTCCAGTTAAGAGCTGCTGCTTCCAAACTTCACGTGGTTTGTGAACAAGAGCTGACAGGTGCAAAAGAACTGACAGGAGGATAAGAGAATGGGTACTGGCCTGTTACCACACACTTCTTCTGGCATTCTTCCAGCGTCAGAAAGTTGTTCTCATTGCCGTGGCATCCACCATACTCGAACACTTCACACTTACGGCTCTGGACGTTGAAGAAGTAGCGCACGTGGATGGCTTTGCATGGGCCGTCATCTGCTTTCATGGCACACACTGAGTGCCCGAGGATCAGGGGGGGCAAAGCAGCGCCTGCAATGCAGATGAGAAGTAGAATAAAGTGTTAGTAGGTTTGCTTCATTATGAAGTGTAACTTCAATATGACACTGCTTGTGTTCTCTGCTGGAGAGGCACCGCGGAACATCTGCCGGCAACGCTCCGGACACGCTGAACAGATGCGAAAACAAAAACATCATCTGGGCTGCAACACAAATTCCATTCGATCAAACCGAATGTGTGGTTTCAATTTCCAACCCAAACAGCTCATGTAAACTCATAAACTTCTTGAACTCCCCATCCCAAATCTCGAAATAGCCACGGGCAGAGGCTTAGTCACGAGGGCCAGTGGGCAATTCTGAACAACAAACACGGAGAGAGAAAATCCTAGCAGCTCCGAAAACACGACTGCCAGGGCAGAAAGGATTCCTTGGGCTGTCTTCCAGGCACTTCTGACAGTGAGCATCGCTCCTAAAGACACGTCCCGTGGAGCAGCGTGAGGCGAACAGAGCCCTGCAGAGGGCATCGCTCCCCTGTCGGATTGAGCTCCACCGGGACACAAACCCAGCCCCGCACCACCGAAACGTCACCACACCGTCTTTTTCCTCTGACCTCGCTGTCCTTGCATTACAGCTTTTTCAAGAGCTAAGCAGACAAGTAGAGTGCTAAGGGGAAACAAAACTCTGTGTTATCCAGGGATGTAATTTCTGTGTCTTTCGATAGGTCAGGGAATGTTTTGCAAATGTTTGTCGTATGTATTGTGAAGAACACCAGCCAAGTTTTCACACTGTCAATGTCTATAAGGAAATTCTCACTAACAGCTGAGTTGCTGATACTTCTCCCTTATAAATCTATGGTTTAATAGTTTTTTTCCTGTTTTGCTTTGAACTATTTTACCCTGCAGGATTTTGAAAGCTCTACAGAGCTGGCGTGATTGCCACAGCAACCAGGAGAACAGACCTGAAATTTCTCATTTATTCTCCTATAGCTAATTAGAATACTGATGTCTCAACACATATGTCAACATACCTAATGGTGGCCCAGGAAACAGGGGACAAAATAAAGAATGGGGACAAGAATTTCCATGATTATTGCACTGCCTCCTCCTCCTACTAGATTAAGTTTCCAGTTTTAATTAAAAGAACCCATAAAAATCAGGCTTTATGACTTGATGAAAAGGAAACCCACAGAACTAAAACACTCTTTTGCTACCTCCTAAGGCCCTTCCTCTGCAGTCATGGGGATGCTGTTAACCACTGTCAGATGTACTGACATCTGCAAGCATAATGACCAGCTGTGTCACGCTTTTTGGCAACTGGACATTTATTTTCCTTAAGAACGCTAGAAAGTTGCCACAGTTTGACGAAAATCTGTACCCTGTGAAAATCCCAGGGGCAGAACAGTCCAGCTTTAAACAGTAACCGAGTGACTGAAGAAAGAACTCTCCGAGGGGTTCATCGGAACTGAATCATTCCTGCATCTGGGAACAGCTAAGGAATTCTTCCCCGTTATTTTACACCTGGGAACACTTAAATCTCACAGATGATACAAACCGAGCTTTTCTTCTCAGACTGGAGCAGCAGATGAGAAGGCAAGCTGGAGTGTTTGACCAGCAGACCTTCACAGGCACAAATCTGCCTGTACTCGTTTCGTATGTGGAATATACCTCAAGAAAACTAATTCTTAGGCTGAGGCCTCATCCCCTGCTCTTGAACACTGGCACAAATTGCTACCACTACATTTTAGGTCTTGTGTGAAGAGCACAGGATGTGACATTCAGAGGAGGTGTCTGTCAGGAAGGTCAGGGAATATTCTTCAGCAGAAACACAGGAAGTTAAAACTCGAAGGAACCTTAAGAGTTTCTTATCCAAGTGAAGGAAAATTCCCAGCAACCTGAAGGAGTCAGTTCCGAGATTTCACTACCCTGCTTGCAAGACAGGCCTTCCTTGTAATGTACCACCTAAATATTCTTATCTATTAAATAACATTTTGCTTCCTTTATGCATAAACAGAATAATTTAAAACCATATATGTATCTACACATGAAAATCACACCGATTTTCTAATCTTGCAATTCAAGGCTGCTGCAGGGGAGAAGGTGGCCTCCTGCACTCTCAGCCTTTAATTTGGGCTCCTCCAAATTTGGCTCCTGCCCAGGCTGCTTGAAACCTTCATGGTGCAGCAGCTTTCTTGCACTCACTGCACCACTTCAGCAGCCCAACTCTGGTCTTCTCTCTTTCTTTTGGAAGACTTTTACCTCCTCTTATTGATCTCCCTACTAAATAAACTCATTTCTTCCAAACTTTTTATTGGCCTTGCTTTCTAAGCCTTTTATAACTCTTACTTGGATCTTTCCTATTAGTTGGATTACTGTTAAAGTGTTGCCATAACCTAAGGCATTACCAGTGGCAAATAGAGTGGAATAATTGTCCTCGGGTGTTTTTTGTTTTTTCTTAACACAAGACAAAATCACTTGCCTTTTTCTTCCTTTTTTTTTTTTTTTCTTTTAAACAACATTGCATTACTTCTGCAATGCTCTGCAACTTCCTTTTGCTTTCCAGCAGATATAACCTTGTTATACAGGTGCTTCAACAGTTGTTTTCCACCCTATATTTATGAATGATGAGAGAATCAATGAGTATTGATTCTGCTTCAAAAGTAAAGCACTCCACATTTGTCATTAAAAAAAAAAAATTAGTTTAACTTTCCACACTGGATATGACCCTGTTGGATATTCATTACTCATCCAATTTAGGCCAACTCATCTGGTTCAAATAAATTTAAGAAATCTATATAATTATAAGACTGTACTATCCTAGACCAAGAAAATTTTGTTTCCTTAGAAATACATGAAATAATTGTTACAGCTGATGCTCTTTGTCACACTAGAGTTATAACTTAAATTAAACTAAAGCAAAGTAAACTCTCCTCTCCCCTTTCTCTCCCCCTGCCTCCCCCGATTTTTTCATTAAAGCTGTTTAACGCACCGGCAGTGTGTTAATATTCATTCCAGTGAGTAAATCCATGGAGAGAGCTCTGACAATCTGCGGTCAGTGCTGCTGCAGGGAAGCAGGGCAAAGCTCTGCTCACACTTTATTAGGAAGCAGTGTAATATTCCAAAAGCACAAGTGGTGAATAATGCCTCTAATCCTCTTACATTGATACAAGTGAAAACAACACCTTCCCCCCCACGGCTGAGGGCATAACAAAAGACTTTAATTTGACTTTCAGTCTCGTAAGGATCATCTGGCAGGGCTGCTTGTCAAGAAAAACCTCCTTTTAGTTAACAAAATTTCCATCCTAAACTTGCAGCACAATAAATACGACGGCCAGGAGCGTTATGGTGGCTTTGCTTCTCACAGCAGAACTACGCAAACCGAGAAAACAAAGGTCAGGAATATTTCTGCCTTTTTATGGCAGACACTCCGTGTTTTTGTTTGCTTAGGTTGTGTGTTCTCAACCTTGCACGGGTTACCCCTCAACTACAAAGCTACAAAGCTGTCATCTTCTGCAGCCTTTCTCGTAAATGCCTCCCCTCTGATAAGCGGTATCAATACTGAGCACCTTTGCTGCTGATGAATGGCTGCTGCTGCTTCTTTTCTCCCAGTCGTTGTCAATTTGACAGCTCTCCACCCACTCGCTGTTTCCCCCGCTCCTCGCACCCACACGTGTTTCCTACGCTTTTTAAGAGGGCACATTTATTCTTGGCAAACTTTCGCGGAGCAATAAAAAAAAACCACGTTCGGTTCGTGAGTCGTTTGCTTTAGGCTTTGGAGCATCAAAACCGGAGAGCTGCCGACCAGACAAGGTATTAATGATCAGTACACATAAACTAATTCTTTTTATACCGGTCATTTTTGTTATTACCCTTATTTAGTGGTGGGAAAATCCCAGTTTGTTTTTTTAATCCCATTGGACTTGCAATCTTAATTATTACTGTAATTTAAATAGACAAACCCCCCACCTCTTAAATCCACAAGGCACTCAATGTGGTCCAAAAGCACGACATTATAAAAAATGGATGCACACAACTTGTTTTATCCCTTAATACCCGAAATTTGTGGAATGTTAGCATATAATATATCATTGCTTTATGACTGTCTAACTTCAGAACTAAATGTCATCCATGAAATTGCACCCTACAAGATTTATAGCTTTAAATTCACTGAGTGCAGAATCTAAATCTTGAGAAACCACAAATATCACTTTAAATAGCAACAATCTGAACGTTTTATGGAAACAGAGTACTGTGAAAATATTTTGTAAACACTGTTATTGAGTCTTCAGCAGTCACTAAAACAGGTTCCTACTAATTTCTAATAATTACATTTGATTGTTTTTTGCTTTTGAATTCGAGTTCAAAAGTTCAACTGTTTCTCACACTAAATCAGTTACTGGTCACATAATCTTAAATAATTGGTTGCGAAATAACCAGCGACAAAAATAACGCCCAGTACAATGACTACTTCATTTCCTTGGGATTATTTTCTTGTTGTCTTTCATAAACAAAGTAAATAGAGGAAAAAAATCTAAGCCAGCAGATTTCTTGTTCTGGTGACAAAGTGTGCAAGGCAATTTGGACATTATGAACAGCAATCTTAGGCTAAGGGTTTATATTAGACAATCGGGATGGAGATAGGATGATGTACGGACAGATAGGCAAAGTGACAACACAAAGTTTCCACTTCATAGTTCTTGATGGAGAGAACACACTTCTCTTAAGGAAGAGGTCACAATTTTAAATCATTTTCTAAAGGAAAGAAGAATATTTTAGTGTACTAGTGTAATAATTTAGTGTATTTTTCCCTCATCTGTTTTCTCAAAACCGTTTGGGAGGAAATGAAAATACCTTTCCCAGTGATATCCAGACAGGATTCTGACCCATCTTTGTTAACTTCAGTGAAGTAAACAAAGATCTTACAACGGTGAGAATCCAAGAACCTCCCCAGTTCTAACAATCACATTTTTTTTCTGAACAAAACTCTCCAGCTGGTGAGTTTTTAATCATAGAATTATAGAATATCCTGAGTTGGAAGGGATTAGCAAGGATCGAGTCCAACTCCTTTATTTATCCAGTGATATCAAATCACTTGGGGCTATACAGAGGCCCAGAAAAACAACCAGGACAGTAATTGCATCATTTTGAGACCAAACTTTGCACATGAAGTGTGACTCAGGAGAGCTGTGCACGGGACAGCAATCTACAGTGTTATTCATCATATTTCTGCTCCTTTTGCGTGGGGAGATGAAACCTGAGCTTGCCAGCTCGATGTTCTTCTCCCTAAAAAATGAACTTTTCCACAATCCTAAAGCAGAGCTTTAAGGGAATTACCTTGATATCTAACCCAATGTTTGTTTAGGATTAGGAGTTCCAAAAAGCTTGGGAAACAGAAGCCTCGACAGAAGGCAGTTTTGCTCAAGCTTAATACACAATTCTGCACATCTCCTAGCCCATTTTTAGCTTAGCCTTAATGGAAAATTTTGGGAATCAAAGTTCTCAAGTGCAGAATTACGTCCACAGTGCACTTTGACACAGTGGGCTTTGATGCTCGAGACAGTTTTAGGTGTTTTGCAGTAACCTCTTACCCACAACACGCTCTTCCTCGCTGCCATCTGACTCAGCAGTCGCACGCCCAGTGACGCAGCAGAACAGCAAGACGAAGGTTGAAGGTAAGGAACATCCCTTCTTTCTTCCTCTCATCTTCCCTGTATAATGTACAGAAGACAACACACACTTCAGTCAAACTTCCTTGAGCATTCTGCAAAAGCCATGAGCAGGATGGTGCACTTTCACTGTCCCGATCAGCTTTACACAATGGATGGTTGGTTGCCCAGTCAGATCCTTCCAAACAAGTTTTCCTCGGTCTGCAGGACTTGAGAGTCACTGCCACGAACACGGGATTCTATTTTTAACAAATATTTAATCAATTTATAGTTGCACACGTGGCATTTCACGGGAGTCAGGGAACTTTTTGAAACGTGGGCTACAATGTCCTAAGAAGTATTTTGTTCAGGTTGTCAAAGGTGAGGTTATGGATGCACGTACAAAATCTGGAAAACCTTTGCTTTAACTTTTTTTTTTAGAAAAGCAGATTTTCCAACTAACGGAAAGTTCCTCAAGGATCTCAGAATCCTAATTAGAGGATAAGCTAAATACCTTCTTTGCTCTCAACAGGTGGATTCCCTCTAGGTATCCTCTTCTCTTAAAGTACAATATTAAATTCTTTTGCTGAATTACTGAGTTAATTAATATTAAGTTAGTAAAAACTGAAGCTCTAAGAAATGGGAAGTTCCCAACCTTCAGTCCCTGTTCAGTGTTCATGTTTACATGTCTGTGAAGACAGCACATTTCACCAAGGAGAGCCAGAATTTTCACTTAATGGTTTCAACTTAATGGTTTCCCAACTTGCAGCATGTGTAGGAGAAAAGAAATGCATTCTTAAAAATAACTCCTGGCGAAATTACAGACCAGACCATGAGTAGCACTAATTATTTGGGTAAATTTTTAAATTGACAATTCCCTTTAGAAGGCTTCAGTATATAATGTGGTGAAAAACACTGAGAGAGGCCTTAATTTTTTTTTCTTTTTCTTTTTGTAAAGAATTTTGGGATCAAAGGAATTTCTGTTTTAGACAGAAAATATGACAGTGTTAACTTGGTCATAATACTTTCCTGTCAAGATCAACAAAAGGATGAGTGTCTTTCATTCCATCTAAGCTCAATTATTAAGCTTGATTTCTACATGAACAAAAAAAGGGCTTTATCCACATACAGTTGGGCAAAATATTTTGCAAAATAATTCAGATCTCAGCTTGTGCTTTTAATTGTGATTTAAAAAATCTCTCCTCAAAGACTGTTTTTTTCCATCTGCGAACAAATTCAGAAATCATTGTTTTCTAGTAGAGAGGCAATAACCTCTCTTGGAATAGAAACCAACTTTTACAAGTTCTGAAACGTTATGTAAACAGAGAATGCATGCAAGTGCCACAATTACTCATTTTCAGCTATTACTCAAGGAAATAGGAGTTGTATTTTTATTCATGATTCTAACCAAAAATTCAGTTTTAAGTTCCCTTACATGCAAAGCTTTGTTGGTACATGACCTTGGAAGAATTTTCTGGTTTTATCCAAGGGTTAGAGAAAATCTTCCAGTAAATCTTTTTATTCAGTGCTGATAAAAAGTCCAGTCACGCTTTAAAAACAAACTAACTGTACAAGGCAACCTGAAGTTATCTAAGACTGTCTTTATGATTTGAAAGATATCAGAGTTGTGAATTTAGTTTGATACCAACTAAAATTAAAATAAAAATAAATCCACAACTAAGAAAAATGTTATGGGGAGAATTACCAAGTAAAAAATTTCTAACAACAGCACAAGTACTTAGCATTGCAATGTAAATAAAGGTAGTGAGAGTTTGACATCATCCAGGCTCAATTAAAACAGAAATATCATCTAGTTCCCAGGTTTGATGCTTAGGTCTATAGTAATAACTTTCAAACTTGGTGTGGCTCCTGTGAGTTGAATGGAATAAAAAAATTATCAGATACGCTTTCAGCTTAATTTTTTTTGAAATGACATGGGAAAGGGCAATTTTCTAGCACATTGTTTTCCTTAGAAGTAATCATTGGTACAATCGTGACTCCTCATAAAGAAACCTGTAAATTATCCATGGATTAATTCCACGTTTGTCCCTGGGCTCTCATTTTCTGTATTTGAGTTTTTTCCAAACAGGGCATCAAAACTCTCACTTAGTTCAGCAAAATTCTATTTGAATTTAGTTTTTTTCCACCACTCAAATTGAGGCTTCGGTTCCTTCTTCCGGGAATCTCCAGTATTTAGATTTAGGTTGCAAAATTTAGTAATCAGTTTTCAGTCCGTCTTCCCATATTCTCAAAAGCTGATTCCCAAGCAGAAGAAAAATCAATCATCAGCCAGAAATGGAAATCCTCAAAAAGTTTCTACGTTTTTCACTTAAAAGTAGAATTTAAATTACATTTAAAAGTATCGTGAGCTGCCATATCTAATTGTCACTGTGTGATTATGAGGATGAATTGCTGTATTTGTGCAGAAAACAAAAGTCTTCCAAGGGTACAGCATTCCTATTCTTCCACTCAACTCCTACATTTCCCTTCAGAGAAAGAGTGCCTTGTCAAAAGCAGGGCATCCTGGTGCTTGGGCAAGTTCCCAAGAGGAAAAGTGTGGGCTGTATGACTGCATATCTGCCTCCCTGCAAAGCCTGTTGACCAAACACCATCCCCTTTATCCTGTTTTTAACCTTCCCAGAAGGTCAAACGTTCCCAGAGCACTGTGTCAGGTGTGGGTGGAGGTGGGATGAGTGGGGTAAAGGTTTTGCTAATAAAATGCTTAAATCCTTCTCTAGTTTAATTCTATCTTATGATTCCTACAGGAAGACTAAAATCCAAGATCAAAGTGAATCTAACACTGCTTTTTCAATTAAAACCCTAAATCCTCTAGAAAAAAAAACCCACAAGTTTTCTGCCTGGATGTTCAGCTGCCCAGTAACAGAACTTTAAAGCTGTAAACCTCTTATGGTATGGATATAACTTTCCTTTTTAATGCATCCTGGTTGTTTTCATTGTGTTTATATGGAAAGCACAATTCAAATATTTTATGTATGATACGTGGCTCAGTAAAATATCAGATGCACACATCTGTGAAGGACTGTCTGTCATGGGAAACGTTCCAAATTCAAATAATTCGTGTTAAATGGTCTGATCATTTGATCCAAATTCTGAAAATTCTGAGAGTAAATAGCAGCCCCTTCCTCCAGAAGGGTTCTGGCTTAGGACAGCCAGGAATCAGTCCAGCATTAACACTGGCTTTTCTCTACACCAAAGCGTCATTAATGTACAATTCCTTAGGAGCTGGCACTCCCAAACTACCTCCCTTTTAATGAGGCATTTTTATATCTGTAACAGACAACAACAACCTTACTCCACAAAGGAGGTCGAAGGTCTGTGGGTAACAATTGGCACCGATTTATTTCCTGATCTAATTAAATACTTTTATCTCTAAATAACACAGTTGGCTTCCCTCAGGCTGAAATACAGCTAGACCAGGCAGACCATAATCAACCTAACCCTAACCCAAAACCAGATCCTTATATAACTAGGACTTTTTTATCCTGACACATAACCACAGAAATAAAAGAAAGCTCTCAATAGTTGTTTTTTTTTTTTTTGCTAAAGGCAGAAAAGTCCAAAACTTGGTGTCTTCTCCATGCAGTTTGTAGCCTTTGGAGGCAGACCTTTTATGTGTATATATATATATATATATTTTTTTTCTTTTACCCAATACTCTCTTCAACACCAATTTCTATAGTTACCTGACTGTTTAGATGCAAACAATTTTTTCAGTGCCATCTAACTGGAAAAAGCAAAATAAAAGCCGGTGTTTCTCGTAGTAGTCAAAAAAAGACATTCCTAGAAAATGGCATAAAGTGACACTGTAATGACTGTAAAAGTGACTCATTCACACTGACAGCCCAGGAAGTGGAAACACAGACACACAAAAAAAATTATATAAAAAAAATAGCAAAGTATATAACTGAATAGAGGAATTAATAGCATGAGACAGGATATGCATAGTCAAAGGTCAAATTTAGCACAGCCTAAAACTAAGGATTAAAAGGTCTAATTAGACAGGATTATAACAAACACCTCTGATATAAGAGCAGACCTTTTCCAGTCCACTGTACTTCAGAGGCATTATGTTTGCCCTGTGATATCTTGTACTATCTACCAGGACTTGTGTGACAGATTTAATTAAACCTATCTGTAGCATTGTCTCCCAGCTGGCAGAGTCACTCTGCTCCCTTAAAAAGGATTTTATTCCATGTGCTGCTCTGCAGTTGCTTGCAAATGTCCTGTTTTTCATTTCCTCTGCAGCAAATATGAAGAATGAATCGAGCATGAATTCCACCACCTCTGCCCTGCTGTAAAGGGAGCAAGGAATGATGGCACCTGCCCCAGCTTTGCAAGTCCCAGAGCCAGGGCGGTGCTGTCAATTAAACTGATTCCCACAGGAGTCTGGCACTGTCACAGCAACTCAATAAAAGGCATGGCAGTGCACTGGGAATCATCAGCATGCAAACACTACTGATTGAAAGCAAAAGCTATCAAAATCCCACCCCTCCCCAAACTTATCCCCCTCCTGTGCCCTGCAGTAGCAGCTTTAATGGTCTGTATCAGTCCTGACACCAGAGACTCCTTCTGATTCATCCAAAAACTTTAAATTTGCTTCTTGTTACCCACCTTTCATCACATAACATAAATACTTTGCTGCTGCTGCACTATTCCAGCCTCTTAAATCCCCAAGCAAAAACTGGGAAGTAAAGAGAAAATTTTTGAAAAAAAAAATTTCTTCATGAGATTTTACACTGAAAAGTTGCGTGACCTGGTGTCACTGTTTCGGATTTCAACTCCCACTTTGATCCTGCTTTTATTAAAGTTGCAAATGATGCTTTTCAACCACACCCGATAAACGCATTGAAAAGGAAACCTTGTTAAGTTTTGAAAGGAACATGAAAATAAATAAATTAATAAACGTGCCAGAAGAGCTTCTTTCTTTTTTTCACATGCTTGTAAACCTCTCTTACCTTTTCAATTTCCTTTGTCAGCTCCTTTCACTCATGCTTTTGAATTGTTTTCCATTTTCCCAGCTTAGCTCCAGAAACTATTTAATCCCTTGTCCTAGTCAGCTCACACCTGGCACCAGGTCCTTTTGCCATCCTGTCACCACTTCACTTCTCTTGTGACACAGGTCCAGACTTTGACTCCCTCTCCCGCTGTGTTCTCACTCTTACCTGGCTCAGTCAGGCCTCCCATCCATGATATCCATCCCCCAAAACCTGGGAAGTGGGTATATTCCGGGAGGCAGAGCTACAGCGAGATTATACCTTGGCAGCAGAAGCCTGTGAGTAATTTTCCTCACTCCCTGATCGTGCAGAGCAAGCACCTGATGCAGCAGCCCCAGGGAATTATAAACTCTGAAATTAAGACTGATTTATTAAACAGCTTCACTTTTCAGAGGGACATTGGGTTTGTCCAAGTCAATTCATACAACCAGCCCATTTTCATTGTGATACACACCTTTCAAAGGGGAAGAGAAGCATTTTGCTCCTACCAAAATATTTTTGCACGTGTACTAAAGCCAATTGGTGGTTTACGTAATTTCATAAATCTTGAAAAACAAAACAACAGAACCATTACACTTGAACCTGTACCTGTTTGTGGCAAAAAACACTGGTCATCTAATCCTGTTTTCAAACAGAGAATGCCTTCAGCATCTTAACAGCTGCTCCCAGAGCAGAAAATCCTCTCACAAAACAAACAAGCAGGAATATTAGTTACATATTAGCTTATAAATTCTCTAGTCTGTTTTTTTTGTTTGTTTGTTTGTTTGGTTTTTTTTCCTAGCAGTTTGGACTGGAAGAGTAGAGTGTATGTGCTCAAATCTCAGCTGTGCTCATTGATAAACAGACATGTATTTAGTGGCCAGTTAGCTTACCACGACCCGCTTTTCTAAGGGAGAGAGTAATTTCAGTGTTGTACATTTGTTAACCCCATTGAGTGTAATTTCCCATCGTACACACAATAGAAATGCTATTCCCTTACACTGAAGCGAAGATGTCAGATATTGAAAATATAACAGGCAGGCCCAGGAGGAAGCTATGGGCCACAGTAATGCCTTTTAACCTTTTGTAACCTCAGCATCACAGAGCTCCCGTTTTGCACGCACACCAAAGTCCAAACTGCGAGTTTCCTTGCTCTGTCGAGCTCTATCAAGCTTAGCTCATTTGGTCCATCTTTCCAGCTGGAGACACCACAGATATTTTGACTGGGATGGATGAGCTTTGGATCGTCCCACAGGTTAGAAATGCTGAAAATGCCTTCCACGGCAACACCCCTGAGTTCAGGCTGCCCCAGGTGTCACCCTGCTGGCACTTAAAACCAACATAAAATAACACTGCCAGACAAGAGAAGTATCCCCTTCACCTCCCACCACAGTACAGGGCAGGTGGTTTATTTTGGTGGCAGTGCCAGCCTCTGTGGACTTCCAGCATTCATCCAGTGACTCTCACAGCACAGAAAACTTCAGCCTCATCTTTCCACACCAACTTTTCTCTGACTGATGAAAGCAGAAATCATTGTCCAACACTTCATTATGTCAGAGACTCCACAAATATAAAGGAAATGGATTGCTTCTCAAAGTAGAAAATGTTTACAGAATACACCAATACACTTCAGTAGACTTTTCCTGGAGTTCATAAAAACAGCACCAACTAAGTACTTCCTTTATATAATATTCCTATTTCTAAGTGACTTGCTGCAGTTGGCCTTTTCAATATAGTTATTTTACAGCTGGTTCATTTGGAATGTTCTGTTTTCTGAAGGAGAGTTTTACTTCCTTGTGTTCAGTTCATAGCCTGGAGCAAGGCGCCCAAATGCCCAATTCTAATTTTTCATTAAACATTACATCTAATTACCCAGTTAATTTCAGAGGTATCCTCAGGTATGAAAGGCACACATGAGCAAAGAGTGCTAAAGAAGGGCAGTGAACAGCTGTATTAACAGCAACAGCAAATAATTGAGAAATCAAACAGAGGAGTTGGGAGAGAAAATTTAAAGGACTGAAACAAAGTCTATTTTACTATTAAACAACTACGACAGGAAAGGAATTATACAACTCCCCATATGGTTTTGCTTCACTCTGTCCCCCAGGGGAACTCTGTCACTATTGTAAAGCTAAACCAGTTTCATAAGAGAAACACACAGAAGGAGGTATTTTATCCTTGTTTTTTAAATCAGTTGTCCCTAGTTTCAGTGTAAAGAAAAGCTTTAGATATGAAGACCCCATCAGCCTCTCCTAGTTCTTAGAGAGAAAATAGGATTGTTCAGAATGTAGTCCAAAAAAAGGACAGTAGTAAGGACTAGAATTTGACAGATTTTAAACACTTTACTCCAAAACTGTGAGACATGAGAGTCATGTCATTCTCTAGTTTTACTGATTTTTTTTTTTTTAAATTTAATTTTTTTTTTCTTCTTCCTATACATATGCTCTGAATCCCTCTGGTAGATGTTCTCAGAAAGTACTGAATGCCCACCAACAAAATCATGGCAGTCACAAAGCACTTCCAGCAGTTACCACTTCATTTTAAAATGCAAAACAAAGTCATTGCCAGAATCACCCTTTTAAAGTAAATTTGGATGTTACAGCATCTTCCCAGAATGTGAGAAATGGTGTCAGTGTCTCTTTTTTTTTTCCAGTGGTGATTTAATATTCATGTTTCCAGAAACAATCCTAATCCCACTGATATAGCAGTGAGAGCAATCCATGTTTTCTGCCCTGAAAGTAACCCAAGAGCCACAGAATCAGAACAGCATAAAAGACATCAGTTTTCCTGAAGTGGAGAACACCTGGGTGCTCCTGTCTGCTGCTGTTCATGCACTTGGATTTATGAGTTTTTGTAATCAAGCTTTCAAAATTACTCTGCAATGAGACCAAGGATAACCAATGTCATTAATCATCTTCTCTGTCCTGAGTCAAGAACACAAAACTCTAATTTACAGTTATTCTGCATTAGATATATTAACTAGATGAGTAACAGTTGGGTGTTCATGAGCAATACTGGTAAACGTGGGCACTGCACTAAAAGGCTAAATGCACTTTAAAGGTCATGTAACTGCACCAGACAAATGCATTAAAACTCAAAATTACAAACTATGAAATCCACAATGTAAGGATGAACCATGAAGGTTACTGAAAATCAATTTAAAGCACACTTGGAGACACTCCGGTATAAAAGCTATAAAATTTTCAAACAGATGGATTTATGAAGCAGTTGTTCACATGGCTGCTTTTTAATTAACCCTTTCATGTGGGACATCATTTGACAGGAGAAAAGGCCAGAGCAGGATGTATTTTAATGATCTTGACCTCCTCAGCATGGTTCTATGTACATTACACACAAAGTAAACTTGATTATAACTCTGAAATTCAGCATAAAGAACAGTACAGAGAAATTTACTGTGGATGTAGATACTTGCAGCCTTCACTGACAGTCATAAACCCTCTCCTAGTAGAATTAAACGATGAGCAGAAGGTTACAAAGAGAAAAGGCTGACAGTTTTTCCCCAAGTAGGTGCCTGGCAACTCCTCCAGCATGCCTTTGCTCTCCCTATCTGCACTGACAGCTGCACTTCCTGCCTTTGCCTCTATCCATAAGACATTCAGGAAGGAAGGTTTGTATCTTTACATGTTTCCCATGAAAGGACTTGGGTGACTAATGCCTAACAGTCCTGAGTCACACTGACTGTTCCCATACACACTCCCTCCATCCAAACTGTTATTGCTCTCCCTATTCCTCTTTTCCCATTATCACAGGCGTTTTCCTCATTTGAATAGTATTTATAGTTTCTAAATTATTAGCAAAATTTAGCAATTATTTTTTTTTATAATACAGGCAAGTTACCACTGTTTTGCTTCCCACAGTTCCTAGAAACTAAGTCTATGTCACTTCTGCCAAATAAAATATTACAAAAGTCACCAACAATGTTCTGTTTTTTGGGGAGTGGTGTGTTTGTTACACTGACACCACTATAAGACTCATTTACTACCCTCATTGTTTAAGGGCTTTTAGTTTCTTGAGAATTCCAATATACAATGGGAGTGAAATTGGCTTATGTGTCATCAGCTCAATTTGATTCTCCTAAAACGTCCTTGTACTTCTCCTAAAATAATAATTGTTTCAGATGTTACATGCCCTACAAGGATTTGAAACAGCCTGCCAGACCACTCTGCTGAATCAAGCCTTCCTTAGAACTACTGCAGTGGAGAAATTCCTTTAAAAAACAAGAGCTTTTCTTCAAACTCGAGTTATTGATCAGTGCTAACTTACTCACCTTCAGGAGAGCTTCCTTTCAAAGATCTCTCTGGGAGCTCTGAGATTCTGGCGACCAAATATTAGTTGTGTTATTAATCATAAAAGTTATTCGTTGTCCCACTGCTTCAAGTTTACAGAGAGGGGAAAAAAAGTCTTCCTTTTCGCAGCACTCATTGCTGGACTTTGAATCTAAACATCTGACTCCCTCATCTACCATATTCTAAAGAAAACACACCACCAGTAGGTACTGCTTTCTGGCAGCTAAAGAAAAAAAAAAAGGATTACTCATTTAAAACCGAAAGTCTCTTCCAAAGTACTCACCCAACTCCTAGCAACACTCCTTGAAGAAAGAAGGAGCTCCAGAATCAGCGGCGAGTATGATCCTCCCCTACCAATTCGCGTTGAAGGGGTGTGGTGTAAAAAGCTACAAAGGCAGGATTTGCAACCTGATCGTCCCAGGCTGGGCTCCTGCCCGGGCTGTTCTCGCTTTTCGCGGAGCGCACACGGGCTCTGCTCCGGGTGAGAGCCCGAGATCTGCTGCGGAGGCACCAACCCTTCCTGTTTAAAGCTTTCTCATCTGCCTGCAGCTCAGAGCGACTGTTTCCTGAACGGCACAGGGGCTGCACCTTTAAAGAACGAGGGCTGTGTAGGATAATCTACGCGTTTTGAACCTTGCAGGCTTTGATAGGGCTCCTGAGGATGCCGTGCTCATTGTCTGCTTAAGAGAGATGCAGAGTTATCTGTTTGTTTTTAAATGAAGCCTCGCTGTTTGCTCTGCGTTCATCGCAGCGGCTGGAGCTTGTATGCAAAGGCTGCTCTGCCTGCAGCTAGAACACACCATCTATTTACAAATCACACTACTATGTGCTAAAATTAAAGTTTGGTATCAGGAAGAGCACCACGGCTGAAGATTGGGATGGGCACTCTAGACATCCTCTCTGAGACCTCGTCGTGGATGTAGGGGCAGATGCCCGGAGTTTTAGCCTTCAAAACACAGGATGAGAATTTCCAAGGTAATGAATTACACAGTAACAGATAACTGCAAAATAACAGCTGAAGAACAGTAACTCGCACAGTCAGTAGCTGTAACTCGTTGCAATTTTAGGCAAAGACTAGCAGGTAGGTAAATCAGTTTCACTGAATATTTATATTCACCTATTCATCGCCATCCTGAAACAGAGTGGAAGTTTCTTGTGTTCAGTTAATGGGTTAACTAACTCTGACACAAACAGAAGTGCTCCTGTCAACTCCTTAGATCTCCTTTCTTGCTCTGACTGTAAAAATGTCTCTAATACCTTTCAGGGCAAAGCCAGTAGTCAGCTGAGTCTACTGACTATTAACTGGGTCAATAATCAGATGGATTAACTGTCCTAAAATGGACTAGAAGAACTCACAAAGTAAAGAGGCAGTTCAAATACTGGGGGTGGGGTTCTACTACACAGTTACTAATTAGCAACCCAGATAAAGCGAGAGACAACCCAGCTCAGGAGGTCAGTGAGATGGAAATGGTCAGGCTGTCATTTGTGAGACACCAAGACCCTGAAAAACATTGTGGGCCCACATGTTAAGAATTAGTGTCTCTCCGAGGGTCACGAGGCAGACAGGCTGAAACAGACGCAGGGAAATTGCACCATGGTTTAAAGAAAGCTCAGTCTGTGCATTCACAATAGACACCAAAACCACTAGATTTCAAAAAAAAAAAAATCACATACTTCTTCACTGTGATTTTCTTGGAATGCAGCTGTGTGGATGAACAGGCATCTATGGGGATAGTTTCAAACTTGCTCTACTCTACAAGTCATTTACAAATGAGCTGCCTTATTTTCAGTCATACTGGATGCTGAATGGTCTGAATTTACAAGTCCATGCAAATATATTCCAAATCCAGGGACTGGGCCTGGTCATAACCTGAAGGGGGATTTTTTTGGTTTCAATGAGAAATTAATTTTTTTTTTTTAAATAATAGGCAAGAAAGAATTTTCATATTTTGCATCACAATGTGCTACCATCAGTCCTTCTTTTCTCACAAGATCTTGCTCGAGTCACTCAGATTTAGTGTGCAAAACAATAAAGTAGTTCTGAAAGGAACAGTCCACAAAGACATGAAAAAAACCCCAAAAACCTACAGTTCAAAATATATTTGTTATCTTATGGTCAAAGAGGTTGAGAATCACATTTAAAGAAAAGTACTTTGGGGAACACATAAAAGAACGAAGCTCTTATTTTGATTAAAAGTTAGACTAGGAAATCTTTAGTAAATAATAAAACAATAAAAATGCCACCATGTGCAGAGTGAACACATATTCAAAAGGAAACTTCAAATGAAACTATTTCATTTTCAGATTAATAGTTTTGCTTTCTACTCTATTGTCTCTTCAGTTCCCACGTGCAGTCATCCTAATTTAGTTGTCAGAAGGGTCTCTGGACTCCTTTGCATTATAACTTCAACAGAAAGGGCTTCAGCTGAAACTGAAATCAGACTTTGAAGATGGAAATTATACTCTTTTGAACCTTTAGTAGCATCAAAGAATTCCATTCAGCTATGACCTGGCCTACACAATCACACTAGCCTCTGGCTTGCCCTGAAATCTGCTGATAGTTTAAAGACAGTTGTCAACAGTTAAATGTTCACAGTGGAAAAAGTCCCTCCAGTTCTGTAAACCAGGTTTTGTTCCTTGCTATAAGGGGCTTTTGAGACCAGCAGATGAAATTTGTGAGATCTAAAGCTAGTCAATGAGGAACACTTTTCTAAGGTCCAATGGGAATCTAGAAACCTCTCAAAAAGTATAACCTGCAAATCACAAAACTCACCAACCTAGTTTTTCCTTCAGATATCATCGAATTGTTGTTGTTTTCGTTAAGCTTGGTTCACGTTCTGAAGAACCCCAGAATCCTCACCAGAGGCATTTCCAGCCTTTGAGTATGTGACATTATCATTACATTCTCCATTCACATTTATTTATACCCTGTACTACAGGAATCACTTGCTTATAGAAAGATTACAGTTCAGAATTTTACCATTTCCCATCAATTCTGAGGTCTGACCCAGAGAGCCAAGCTCTGGTCAGTTATGCAATAGTGGAACTGTAACACTATTGAATGAGTGTGGGAAAGGGCCATTTACAGCACAAACATCAGCAGGCCAGCTACCAAATTCCCCTTGGTTTTCATGGATTGCACTGCCATGGGGCAGGGGCAGTGCAAGCCTGACATCCCAGCCCCCTTCCAAGCTGCTTTCTGCTGGCCTATTTTGAAATGACTCAGGTTTGATAGTCAGAGGAAAGCTCAGAGAGCATTTAAATCTATTCTTCTTCTACAGACAGAATAGCTTTGCTCAGGGATTACAGAGCCAGAACATCACAGACAGAGAAGGCAGAAAAGTGGGGTAGAAAAGGCCTATCAAGAAGGTCTGAAAGACAGAAGACAAGACCAGACCTACTGAATACATTCCAGATCATTCCTATCACTGAGAACTCCCATAAAGAAATTTGACATGTACACAGCTCCATTTCTTCATGACTGCTATTCCTCACTACGTATCTACAAGCAAATACATGGAAAAGTATGGATAGAGTAAACTAAAACAGAGATGCCATGAAAGAAATCATTTGTACAATTCTTGCAGTACTTGGCTCTCAAGAGTTCAAAGCTGAGACTATTAGATTTTAGTCTTCTGACAGTATGTGGAATTCCTACCCACAAATTGGGAGATCAGGGAATTAAAAAAAACAAACAACCACAAACCCAAATAAACAAACATGTTGATTGAGAGGGATGGAGGAAAAGACTTCAAGTTTTCCTATGCTGTTCATCTTGATTAGTATGAAGTGGGTGGGTTTTAGCAGAATATGTTATACTTCACTATAGTGCTAAATATTTGGTGTTCAGAAATTAAAATGACGCACAAATGTCCAATCTTCTTGCTGTACCAGAACAGAGAGGAGGCAACACGAAATTATGTTAAGTTTTGTGTGTACATATATATAATACAATTTTTTTTTTAAGCTCTGTCATTCCTGAAGCAAGATTTACTTGAAAAAACACAAAAGCTTACGTGAGTCTTCACAAATGCCTCTCTCTCTCTCGCTCAGTGAGGGTGTGACATTGCTCTTGCTGTAGCAACACAAACATCTGTGATGTCTTGTTGCCCTCTAGTGATGCCACTTCATTTTTCCCCACTCCTTAGTTCTTTAGAACTTCCCATAGAGGTGTGAATTTGATTATAAAACTCACAGGGCCTTCAACCAAAGCAGAATTAGGCATGTCTTATCTCAAACCAGTAAGTGTTGTGTTTCCTTCCCTACAAAAGGCAGGTTTCTTATTTACTTTTGGTCTTATTATTTCATTAATTTGATTAAAAATTAAAAGAACTTTCCATCATAGAGCTGCAGTTAGATCTGAGGCAGACCATACCTGAAGCAAAATATACTAGAAAAGTATTACCTACTGAATTTTGTTTTGTTAAATAGCAAAGGGGCTGTGCACAGGCTCGTTAAGCAAATTGCCTCACTGGACAAAGCACTTGTTTTAAAGTAACATCTCCCTTACTTGGCTCAGTGAACATCTACTTTGGAAACGGAAATGGGTTAATTAAACATACGTATAATTTTTTCTGGGTTAGTTATTTATCATGCTTTTTGTTCTCCTGTTGTTCTGATTATCCTCCCAACGAGCCCAGTGTTTCACTAACGATCCCATCCACGGCCTTTAGCCCTCGTTCCAAATTCCAGAACCAACTGGCTTAGTCACTGGATGTCACTGTTGCAGCACCAAGAGCTTTGGGGTTTCATCTGCAAACAGCAAGCCAATAACTTGTATGTGTTTTATTCCTTCATTACTATTAAAGGTTTGCATTCCTGCTCACGTTGAAGTCACTGAGAGTTTTACTACAGGTCGAATATTTAGAAGTATTCAGGCCTGAGGATAATTTATGCTTTCATAAACTAGGGGAAGGTATTTCATTTAAGTTTTAAAACTCTTTGTATTTTAATTTGAAAGCGTGACCTGTCTTAGCTTTTTGTTTCTACTGCTCTGATAAGAGTTTTATTTCTGAATATCTTTTTATGTATGCACAGTGTACATATTTCTGTAATTACATATATACACACACATATATAAATACACCAGTGCCAGAATGATATACATATTTATGAATATATATACATTGGTATAATTTAAATTTATATAAGTGAAATACATATATTTATGAATATGTATACACTGACATAATATTTCTCTAAAAAGTCCTAAATAATGTTTTGCTGGGTTCATGTAAGCCAACAAATTAAATGATTAACTCTTGCAAAAATAAAATACCCATCCTTTGCCTTAACCAGCCTGAGACAAAGCTAAACAGAGCAATAAACACCACTCTGCATGTTCAGAACTCTGAAAATTAAATAAGTTCATATAAGAATGTAAGTAGCTTACAGAGTCAGAGACTTTTTACAGGTTTGTTGTTTTTTCCAGAATGCATTAAAATGCATTGCATCAGCACCAAAATTATCAATTAGAACTATAGTATTATTAAACTGGTTTCTAATTCTTGTTTAAACGAAATAAAATGAAATTAACTGGAA